GGTACAAATGAACATCTATATTGGTTGTTCTGGATAGTGTTTTTGCTTAGTAATTTCGCAATGGTGTCTTTATCTCCAGATATGTATGTGGGGAATTAGAGACATTGCGAGGACCAACATTAAGTAAGGCAGAATTGGTTTCTAAACTACAAGCTTGTGAGCAAGCGAGGAAAGTGCTCGAAGGAATGTTCAATGGCATGGTGCAAGAGGTGTTAGAAATTAAGTGTATTGTGTCTAGTATATCAGTAAGTGATAGTTCTCATGGAAGCCAACTTGAAGTTTCTTAAAGGATATTTTAATGTATGTCAGAATATTGGTATTTTTATCAATAAAAGAGGCTATGATCCTTTCAAACAATATTCTCTTGTTTTTATATTAATATGGATGTTAATATTGAAATGTTGGACGTTGCATAAAGTGATCGTTGAACGCAAAATTATACTAAATATAAGTGGTTCTGAAGGATATCAATGTGTGAAGAGAGTGGTTGCTAATGATACTTTGGTTAGCATGATAACGTTATTAGCGACGACAATTGTGGTCGTTATTTCCATGGGATTGACGACCGCACACCATCTCGTCGTTACAAGATAACGGCCACAAAAGGTATGTCGTCGTTATACTTTTAACAACGGAGCCTACTACGACCAGCAGATTGTGGTCGTTAATGACCCTTAACGACCACAATCCGACCTTTAACGACCACATATACCGTTGTTAAAAACCGTTTTCCTAGTAGTGTTATCCGCGTCGATGTGAGACTTTCTCCCTTTTTGTCTTCTCCACATAACCTCCATCATCATATTCTATTCCACCCATAGTGCTATATCCATGGCTAACGCTCATGTATTGCGTGAAGGTTGAAAAAGTTTGAGAATACTAAAGTATGAAACAATTGCTTGGCTAAAACCGATGTTGTGCATGATTTGAATATTTTGTGTGATGAAGATGGAGCATAGCCAGACTATATGATTTTTAGGGATAACTTTCTTTGGCCATGTTGTTTTGAGAAGACATGATTGCTTTATTAGTACGCTTGAAGTATTATTGTTCTTATGTCAAATGATAGACTATTGCTTTGAATCACTCGTGTCTTAATATTCATGCCATGATTAGACATATGATCAAGATTATGCTAGGTAGCATTCCACATCAAAAATTATCTTTTTTATCATTTACCTACTCGAGGACGAGCAGGAATTAAGCTTGGGGATGCTGATACGTCTCCATCATATCTATAACTTTTGATTGTTCCATGCCAATATTCTACAACTTTCATATACTTTTGGTAACTTTTTATATTATTTTTGGGACTAACATATTGATCCAGTGCCCAATGCCAGTTCCTGTTTGCTGCATGTTTTATGTTTCGCAGAAACCCAATATCAAACGGAGTCCAAATGGGATAAAAACGGACAGAGATCAATTTGGAATATTTATGATTTTTGGGAAGAAAAACTAACGCGAGACGGTGCCCAAGGGGGCCACGAGGCAGGGGGCGCGCCCCTGATCCTCGTGGGCACCTCGTAAGGCGGTTGATGCTCTTCTTTTACCACAAGAAAGCTAATTTTCGGAGAAAAATCTGGGCGAATGTTTCAACCCAATCGGAGTTACGGATCTCCGGATATAAAAGAAACGGTGAAAGGGTAGAATCAGAGAACGTAGAAACAGAGGGAGACAGAGAGACAGATCCAATCTCGGAGGGGCTCTCGTCACTCCCATGCCATGGAGACCATGGACCAGAGGGGAAACCCTTCTCCCATCTAGGGAGGAGGTCAAGGAAAAAGAAGAAGAAGAAGAAGGGGGGCTCTCTCCCCCTTGCTTCCGGTGGCGCCGGAACGCCGCCGGGGGCCATCATCATCACCGCGATCTACACCAACACCTCCATCATCTTCAGCAACCTCTCCATCACCTTCCCCCATCTATATTCAGCGGTCCACTCTCCCGCAACCCGCTGTACCCTCTACTTGAACATGGTGCTTTATGCTTCATATTATTATCCAATGATGTGTTGCCATCTTATGATGTATGAGTAGATTTTCGTTGTCCTATCGATGATTGATGAATTGCTATGATTGGTTTAATTTGCTTGTGGTTATGTTGCTGTCCTATGGTGCCCTCCGTGTCGCGCAAGCGTGAGGGATTCCCGATGTAGGGTGTTGCAATACATTCATGATTCGCTTATAGTGGGTTGCTTGAGTGACAGAAGCATAAACCCGAGTAAGGGGGTTGTGGCGTATGGGATAAAGGTGACTTGACGCTTTAATGCTATGGTTGGATTTTACCTTAATGATCTTTAGTAGTTGCGGATGCTTGCTAGAGTTCCAATCATAAGTGCATATGATCCAAGAAGAGAAAGTATGTTAGCTTATGCCTCTCCCACACAAAACTTGCTATCGGTCTAGTAAAGTTGTCAATTGCTTAGGGACAATTTCACAACTCCTACCACCACTTTTCCACACTCGCTATATTTACTTTGTTGCTTCTTTATCTAAACAACCCCTACTTTTTATTTACATGTTCTTTATTATCTTGCAAACTTATCCAACAACACCTACAAAGTACTTCTAGTTTCATTCTTGTTCTAGGTAAAGCGAACACTAAGCGTGCGTAGAGTCGTATCAGTGACAGATAGGACTTGAGAGAATATTTATTCTACCTTTAGCTCCTTGTTGGGTTCGACACTCTTACTTATCGAAAGAGGCTACAACTATCCCCTACACTTGTGGGTTATCATGCGGTGCCCGCTCCACAGTTACACAACTCGGTCATATCATCGTAGTGCTTAGGCGAAGCCCTGCGCCGGTAACTTCATCATCACCGTCACCATGCCGTCGTGTTGACGAAACTCTCCCTCGGCCTCAACTGGATCAAGAGTACGACGGACATCTCCGAACTGAACGTGTGCTGAACACGGAGGTGCCATACGTTCGGTGCTTGGACCGGTTGGATCGTGAAGACGTTCGACTACATCAACCGCGTTAACTAAACGCTTCCGCTTTCGGTCTACGAGGGTACGTGGACACACTCTCCCCTCTCGTTGTTATGCATCTCCTAGATAGATCTTCCGTGATCGTAGGATTTTTTTTTGAAATTAGCGCGTTTCCTAACACATAGATCCTCACACCGCGGCGGCAAATTGGGCAAGTCGTTGCCTTGCAGAACCACCTAAAAATGCATCAGCGGTGGAATGCGTGGAGGCACCTCGGCGGCTGCACGACAGGCTCTCCCTCCAGTCCGTCCAAATAGAAAGGGCAGTTCTTAGGCTTATCACTACCGCCCAGCTCCCTCTCCTTACATGCCATCAGGAGAGCCTGCTCATCATGTATGAACTGTCGATCCACCTCCATGACGAAGAGAAAGGTGAAGCCGCGGGTGGCGTTGTCACCGCACGCCGCGCGGACGATTTGCGGCACCATGTTCGAGGGTACGACGTCATCCCACTGGACGTCGGTGAGGCGGAGCACACGGAGCTGGGGCATTCTCGCCAGCATCCTACAAAGCGCCCAGCGGCAGGCACCGTCGCTCTGGAGCGCGGAGAGGTCTTTGACACCGACTTCATGATGGAACAGTTGCTTACCCTGATATATGGCTGGTATATCATGGACGGGGGCAGGCCGCATCCGCAGAACACCAGGGACCACTTCACATAGCACCTCACAAACACAGCGAATTGGCACCCAACGTCGGTGGGCCCGGGATCAACGGAGAACCACCTTGCGGTCGCCACGCCCCTGCGCATGACTAATAGGCCAATGGTGGCAGCGGCGACGTGATTCGACATCGCCGTCACTAGTTCACTACACCGGCTGGCAATCTGGGATCTGGTGTGACAAAGGTGCAAATGGTTGCGGATGGCGGTGTCACTATTTATAGTCGACGGCCAGGCGGCGTGTGCGTGTACTGTGGCTACCAATCAGAGAGGCTTCGCGTGGGACATTCGAATTCTTATTAGAAATGAATGCGATGCGAATATTTTTCTCCATTCCACGCGGGAAGTTCAAATTCTTTTTAGGAAACGAATGCGATGCAAAAAAAATTAGGAAACGAACGTGATGCAAATCTTCCCTTTGACACCGAAAGGGAAGGAAGTAAAATGATTCTTTTTAGGAAATGAACGTGATGCAAATCTTCCATTTGACACAGAAAGGGTAGGAAGTAAAATTATTCTTTTTAGGAAATGAACGTGATGCAAATCTTCCGTTTGACACGGAAAGGGTAGGAAGTAAAATGATTCTTTTTAGGAAACGGGCGTCAAACAATTCTGCTTCTCCATTTCAGGCTGAAGGCTCGACTTGCTCAAATTTGAGCTGGCCGAGGCGGCGGCCGTGGCGGCAATGGGATGGTAGGGGGCCTCTTGGAGCTCGGTGGAGAGCTCGGGGAGGAAGCTGGGAGGAAGGTGAGGCCGATGGTGAGGTCGGGAGGCCTTGGGGTCGGCTTAAATAGCCGGGGCGACGACGCCGTGGCCGTGGACTGTCGTGGACTCGTGGCCACGGCTCTGGCGCCACCACGTACGCGTGCACTCGCGGGCGGGCTTGGACGGCGACGTCAGAGAGTCAGAAGAGTCCCAGAGGAGCAGGGAGTGGCAGACGCGGGAGGGGCGAAGTACGATAGGCCACAATGCCGCAGCCGGGGCTGCCGGGGTGCGAGGAGGGAGAAAGAAGAGGGAGAGAGGGTCCATGGCGACCGAACATACTCTAGATCGGAATAGGAAGAAAGTACTACGTACTTGATAATTTCTACAAATTGCAAGTCCTCGTTATGATTCACTTTATGGGGAGAAATCTCTGACAAAGAAGGGATAACTGGATGAAATATGACAACGACCTTACAATCTTTCAACGAACATAACAAATAACCGACTAAATCCCTAACAAAGAAGGGAATAACTGATAGAAATGTTGACAATGATCTTGCAATCTTTGATATTTGGAAAAAAAAAGGAGACTGGATACTGCTGCTCTACTCAACCTTGAACCTTACGTCTCATGAGTGCCCTACTACAGAGAAAGAAACTCAGGCAGGGCACAGATCCTCACATCGCGGCGGCAAATCGGGCACGTTGTTGCCTTGCAGAACCACCTAAAAATGCATCGGTGGTGGAACGCGTGCGGGCACCTCGGCGGCTGCACGACGGGCTCTCCCTCTAGTACATCCAAGCAGATCGGGCAGTTCTCGAGCTTATCACTGCCGCCCAGCTCCCTCTTACATGCCATCAGGAGAGCCTGCTCGTCATGTATGAACTGTCGGTCCACCGCCATGACGAAGTGAAAGGTGAAGCCGTGGGGGGCGTTGTCACCGCACGCCGCGCGGACGATCTGCGGCACCATGTTCGAGGGTACGACGTCATCCCAGTCGACGTCGGTGTGGCGGAGCACCTGGAGCTGGGGCATTCTCGCCAGCATCCTGCGGAGCGCCCATCGGCAGGCATCGTCGCTCTGGAGCACAGAGAGGTCTCTGACACCGAACTTCATGATGGAACCATTGCTTGCCCCGATATATGGCTGGTATATCACGTACGGGGGCTGGCCGCGTCTGCGGAACACCAGGGACCGCTTCACATAGCACCTCACAGACACCGCGAATTGGCACCCAGCGTCGGCGGGACCGGGATCAATGGAGAACCACCTTGCGGTCGCCTCGACCCTGCGCATGACTAATAGGCCAGCGGTGGCGGCGGCGGCGTGATTCGACATCGCCGTTACTAGTTCACTATACCGGGTGGGAACCTGGGATCTGGAGTGACAAAGGTGCAGATGGTTGCGGGGGCGGTGTCGCTATTTATAGTCGAGGCCCAGGCGGTGTGTGCGCGTACCGTGGATACCAATCAGAGAGGCTTCACATGGGACATTCGAATTCTTGTTAGGAAATGAACGCGATGAAAATATTTTTCTCCATTCCATGCGGGAAATCCAAATTCTTTTTAGGAAACGAACGCGATGCAAAATGTTTTTAGGAAATGAACGTGATGCAAATGTTTTCCTTTTTAGGAAACGAACGTGATGCAAATCTTTCGTTTGACACGGAAAGGGTAGGAAGTAAAATGATTCTTTTTAGGAAATGAATGTGATGCAAATCTTCCATTTGACACGGAAAGGGTAGGAAGTAAAATGATTCTTTTTAGGAAACGAACGTCAAACAATTCTGCTTCTCCGTTTCAGGCCTTGCCTCGCCTTAAGCACAAGTTAAATTTTTTTGATGGGTACGTTAAATGTGGGCTGGCCATTTGCGCGGCCCATTAGCATATATATTTTTTTCAGTTCCCCCAAAAAATTGTATATATCTAATAAATAATAAAAGAAAATAGAGTTTGCTTTAGTAAATTAAACTAGCATGGTGACCCGCGCATTTAGCGGCTAGATTTACTATATGTAGTCATCTGTTTGTTCTTGTTCTGTTGTTTGGGCTAACAAAAACATATTCTTTGAGGTTATTTCTTGTTACATGTTCATTGATGTATGGAAACCATGGGAAATTTTTTAATCTGTTGCTTTGGGACCTATTTTGGTTATAGAACATCTACATTGCTTCTTTTTTTGTCATTTTTTTCATTACTTCAACTATTAGTATTTGCTAAGTGGCCAAATGTTAAACGATTTAATTATATATCTTCTTAACATTAATATTATATCCTAGATATGGGTACTGAATATATAAGATCGGAACTTAGCCTAAAGTTTAATGTTTAATGTATAGCATTGGTGTTAGAAACATCATCATGGTAGGTGTATGTCTAACTGGAACAAAGTTAAAAAGCCAGCCATGCAAGACAATCAATTTGCCCCAATCTACTCCGTATATGCTCTTCATCCATCTTTATTTATGTTCACACATATAACCTATTAACAAACTTTCTACCAAGAATTAAATATAAAATAGCATAGCTCATAATATCATACATAAAAATTATGTTTTGTTGTCTTTCTCTTAATTAACAGATAATGTAGGAGTTACGGTACTCAATTAGCACAATATCACATTGGATGTATCTACGTGAGCTCATCTTACTCTACCCATCTATTTTAGTAGACCATCTAAGCATATGTAGTTATTTGTATATTTTTACTGAAAATGCAGAAACATTCTTCCCACTGACTCACCTTATAATTTAATTTACATGAGTTAGATTTTACCAAATGAAACTGGGATAGCTAATTTTGTTTTGAATTTTATTCTAATATTATTTTTTGAGTAGTATCAGAATTAATGTCACATATAAAAATTATATATCTATATTTTCAAGAATTTAAATATTTATGAGGTTCAGTTAGCATGCAAGCTGATTTGTTATACCCTTCATAAATCCACTTTACTGAAATGTGTAAATTGCAATAAGGGTTGTATCTATGATAGAATATCGAGTATAAACTTTTACTTACATTCACCTATGCATTCTTCTAAGGCCCGACTTAGGAGCACTGTTTAACTCATTATCTACTGCGGTCGAGGGAGTATGCCCTTTATAAACTAATTTAAATGCCATATGTAAAGTTTCATAAGGTGTGTCTACACTCAAATATTTAATACAAACTTTTACTTACATTCACTTATATATTCTAACGGAAAGAAAACACCCGATTCAGGTGTACTGTTATACTCATCTAGTTACGATGATGTATATATTATAGTGTCTTGAATGGATGTAATTTACTTGGTATGTATGCTTACGGTATGTCGGAATGTCATGTGTGTTCGGTGTGTCTAGCGTTATTTAAGTGTATCCATTGTTTTGATAGCTTTCTAAGTCATTCTATTTTAATTTTGATGTCTTGAGTACCGTTGAATGTCTTAATCCGCAAGAGGCAATCTTGGGCACACCAAGTTAACTCTCATCCTCCACATGTTAGGGAGAGCGAGGAAGATGCAATCTACTTGCTGGAGATATATATCCCCCCATTTGGGTTTCATTATAGGCATTTGTTGTCCGTTTCGGCAGTTATGACAGTGACATACAGTAAAGTGTTATTTGGTGTGTTGTTGTTGAAGTTGACGCCCAGACAAAGCGACATCCATTTTGACAATGAAGCTAGGTTTGGGCTCATAGCCGCAACAGAGGCTTCCTACGCATTTGGGTCCTCTTGCCACATTTCCGTCACAATAGTGTATCATCCGGTGCCAGCATGACGACTGTGAGGTATAATGCTTGTCGGGCATTTGGATATCTGGCTCTTCCAGTTGGGATGTCATTCTTTTCTAGGCAATGGTCTAACAGGACTGTGCTGCGAAGTGGTTGTGACATTGCGTCAGGGTATTCAATATAATCTATTCATTTCGAACGTTGTTTGTAAAACTGATTTGGTTAATATACTTGAGTGATTTTTCATCTATAAAATAAGAAAAACTCTTGGCCTTGTACCATCAGTCGGTCAAAAGAACAGAAGCCATGTCGCCTCTATATGGTTTGGCAACCATTTTTCTTCCATCATTACATGTTTAGCTTTGGTTATCCATTGTATATGGGATGAGTTCATGGTCACGTAAAAAAATTAAATGACTAAATATTACGTATCGGTGCAAATGTCATCTCCCCCAATTTTGTTTTAGTGGGTTCTATATCTATCCTTTTTTACCACATGTCTTGCTATAAAAAAGTTATATTACAAAAATATTACGTACCGGTCCAAACATCATCTCCACTAATAGCAGATTCTATGTGTCCTTTTTTGTAACACATGGCTTGCTTTTTTAACGGGAAATCGTAGGACTGCAAAGGACTTGTCCGTGTCTTTTTTAAGGAAAGGTCTAGTCCGTGTCCTAGTAGCATATGCTTTTTTTAAAAGGACATCATTGTTGTACATGTCCTATCTTTTTTCCTTTTTAGGTTTGTACGTGTCCTATCTTTTTTTGAAAAGGACATCATTGGCCACACGTTTCCTTTTTAAACCCAACATGTCGTGAGTCTGGAGTACTTGTCCATAAACAATGGACATCTTTGTCTTAGAGAACCACACAACACCTCGTGAACAACACCTACCGACAAAATAATAAATACTTGCACCCAACGTGAACAAGGGGTTGTCAATCCCTTGGTGGTTAATTGCAATGATCAAATCTTGTATAGGTAGATGGATAAATAAAACACAGAATAAAATAAAATGAAGAAAGTCGCATCAAGGTATTTTTGGTTTTTGATATATATGATGAAAATAGACCCGGGGTCCATAGTTTTCCCTAGAGTCTTCTCTCTTGAAAATAGCATATGATGGGTAAACAAATTACTGTCGGGCAATCGATAGAAAAGCTAATAATCATGACGATATCTAAGGCAATGATCATGTATATAGGTATCACGTTCAAGACAAGTAGACCGAAATGATTCTGCATCTACTACCATTACTCCACACATCAATCGCTATCCAGCATGCATCTAGAGTATTAAGATCGTAAAGAACGGAATAACGCCTTAAATAAGAGGACATGATGTAGACAAAGTAAACTCACGCATGAATAAAGTCCATTTTTTATCCATAATAGCAACGTTACAATACGTGTCATGTCCCCTTCTGTCACTGGGATTGAGCACCAAAAAATTGAACCCATTACAAAGCACCTCTCCTGTTGCAAGAAAAATAAACCTAGTTGGCCAAACCAAATCATTAGATCGAAGAGAAATGCAAAGCTATAATAATCATGCATAAAAGAGTTTAGAGAAGACTGAAATAATATTCATAGATAATCTAATCATAAACTCACAATTCATCGGATCCCAATAATCACACCGTAAAAAGTGATTACATCGAATAGATCTCCAAGAACATTGCATTGAAGATCAAAGAAAGAGAAGAAGCCATCTAGCTACTAGCTATGGACCGGTAGGTCTGTGGTAAGCAACTCACACATCATAGAAAGGGCAGCAAGGTTGAACTTGTTGCTCCATACAAGAAGTTCCTTGGTATTTCATCATGGAAGAAATAGCTATCCTTATTATGCAATACTTTGTTCCATCAACATTATGTCATGTAATGTAAATGGTATCATTATGTAATAATGTGATGGGTGTCATATAGTTTTTCATCATGTGCTCCTTTGCTTAAAGTAACCCGATTGTCATGGTTTCTTTGCCTCACTAGTGTAGTGCCAAAAACTCTCTTATATTATGGGACAGAGGGAGTATTTTTTAGGAGTATATATGTACATGAGCGCATGTGTGTGTCGTTTGTGCATATGCCGCAACATATATGAACATTGTTCGTGCTTGAACCTTCCATATATGCATACATGCGATAGTTCAATTTACTGATACGTACATATTAGTAGGTTACATAAAACTTTTAAATCTCAGCCATCGTTATCCTAATCAAACGGTGGAAATAATATGAGCATATGTGGACGAACATAATCGCTCGTTTATATAATAGATAGATATTAGAAAATCAATAGATCAAGAGAAAATGTTTCATCTAAATTATAGTTTTGTTCATATAGCTTCTTAGAATACTTCTTGTATCTTAAAAAATGATTTACACTGACAGTGAAAAGTATTTCGTGAAATCACAATTAAAAGGGTAAAAAAATAGTGAACTATAGTTTGCTGCCTAGCAAACGCCATTCGGAGACGGATGATTTGGAACGGGGAGGGTCTAGCAGTAGGAGGAGGACGAGAGGTAGGGTACAATTAATTTTTTCCATTGACATGTGGAACTCATATGTAAGACTGGATATAGAAACAAGAAGATCAAAAATCATCCTTGAAGCG